GGAGGGAAGGAGTCAACACAAACATTTATTTCCTGTACTGCAAGACAAGGAAGTCGGGGTCTGATTTTTGCCCACAGTTTTGATTTTAAGTAAAATCATCACATTATTGCTACATTTTCTGGAGATCTCTTGCATTGAAATGGGAGTCTGGTGTGTAACTAACTGATTATGATCACAAGAGTCAGTGATATTTAGCTGCAATGCAAGACAGGAACTGAATAGGAGTATACCCTGAAACTATTACATCATTCACATCTTACTTGCTATATGGTTGCTATGCTGTATGGGACCTACTTGCATCCCTACTCATGCATGATGTATGGTTCAGAACTTCACAGCTGACATTTCAAGCAGTTCTTACATTACCTAGTTAACATTACACCTGATATACACTTTGAACGCATTACAACAGTATTCTCACTACCTGCTGCTGTAGGCAAACTTTTTTTTTTTTTTTTAATTTCATATTAGTCTTGGAGATGAAAAAGACAAAATTTCAAGTCACTAATTACAGATCAGCAGAACTTTTTTTTTTTTTTTTTTAAAAAGTCCTCCATATAAAAAGACAGACTGCGGTTTGATTTTAAGCAATCATTTTTAGTTTACTAGATGAAATGGACCTATCAACATATTCTGCATGAATGCAAGAAAGTAGCAATCTACAGCAATTCAAAGAAAAAAAAAAAAATAGAGCCAGAAAGCATACACCGAGAGGTAACCTTGCTCCTCCCACCCCAGAGGAATGGGGGGGAGGGGGAAAGAAAAAAAAAGGGTAGTCAAGAAAGAATGGAAAAAAAAAAAGTTACTTAGCAAATCTACAACGTGTCTTTTCCCCCTGTTTGCTGGAAGTCTGCCATAGCATCTAGTGCTTGTGTTCGTGTCACATTTGACGATTAGAGCATCCTAATGCCAAGCAAGAAGAGTTAAAATAGGAATCCAGTCACTGTGTCGAAGAAAAGGGCGGTCGTGGGAGAAGAGGTGATCATAATCCTATGGATGCTTCGCTTTTCTGCCAAGAACCGGTCTTCTGGGAAGCCACGTGGGTTAATTCTTTATTTATTTATTTATTCATTCATTTTCCTTAAATTCTCCATAGCCTAAAAGAGTTTCATTCGTATGTGTGCGCGCGTGTGCGTGTCCCCCACCCCCCGCCATTAGGATTTATAGTTGGACGTTAACCACGTCAGCCCTTCGTAGAGTCCGTCCCCCGTGGTGGCACAGGAGGGCTGCACGTACCAATTCCTATCCCTGATCCGCGTCAGGCCCAGTTTCTCCTGGATCTCGTGGGGTTTCATGGCGTCGGGGAGGTCCTGCTTGTTGGCGAAGATGAGGATGATGGCGTCCCGCATCTCCCGGTCGTTGATGATGCGGTGCAGCTCCTGGCGGGCCTCGTCGATGCGGTCGCGGTCGGCGCAGTCCACCACGAAGATCAGGCCCTGTGTGCCCGTGTAGTAGTGCCGCCACAGGGGCCGGATCTTGTCCTGCCCGCCGACGTCCCACACGTTGAACTTGACGTTCTTGTACGTCACCGTCTCCACGTTGAAGCCCACCGTGGGGATCGTGGTCACCGACTGGCCCAGCTTCAGCTTGTACAGGATGGTGGTCTTGCCCGCCGCGTCCAGCCCCAGCATCAGGATCCGCATCTCCTTGTTGCCGAAGATCTTGGACAGCACCTTGCCCATCTCGGCGGCATCCACGGGGCCCCGGGGTGGGGG